TTTTCCTAATGCATCTAGATGTTCCTAGTCTAAATAAAAAGTTTAAGCTGTTTTTAATCAGAATTAGATTTTAAAAAAGTTTTAAAGTTGCTCCAAATGCCATATACATGTACATGTACAAATGTCTGTACACGTACACGTACATACATGTGCTTGTTAACTCATGAAGAATGTTGTTTAGCTCACTTAGCATGCATAGTGGGAAACCCTGGGTATGTACCATAGGAAGGGTTATAGAGACATAAAGAAAGAGCTCAATGTTAACAAGTTAATGAGAGATAAATGCTACAAAGGGCATCGGATAATAGACAATAATAGTAATAGTAATAAGGTATACATTTAATAACAGTAACAGTATGTGACAAGCACATACAGTGATCCATAATACTAAAGGTTCAAATAATACATATTGCTTAAGGTGACACAGTAACAATAATAGTATTAATAGATTTACCTAATTACACATTTCCGTATATAATGGTGATGTACGTAGTACATGTCTGTCCACAACACAAATACAAGACACCCACACATAGCTATTACATTTTTTTCGGCATGCATGTGCAATTCTTAATCTACACTACCGTAAAAAACTGAAATCTGTTGTCTACATCATTCAGATACTATTAAGATACTACAAATCTGTTCATTATTACTTATTATTAATATTTGAAGATTTGGCATGGATGGGGCAAGACTACACGGTAATTAGTAGCATAATTAAATTTTAATAATAGCAAAATAAAAGTTACAACTACCAGCATTATGTAATTAGTATAATAATAATGTCTTGACAACTGCATGCAATAATTGTTTGTGAAGCTACTTTAAAACCTCAACTTACTTAAATATCAAGCTAGTAATAGTAAAAAATAGTAATAGTAGTAGAGCACTATGATAGACCGAGGTATAGACCCAGGAGATGCAGCACAGATATCGTCCATCTTGCCTTCAAGGTGTGGCAGTGTTGCTCGAATCTAGTTGCCATGGGTACTCTATACTACCATAGAGTATTATGCTATCTCATGAGCAGGTCACTAAGGGTTGTACAAGTACAACTACATTTCAGGAACATTTCAGTATGTTCTACAATACTATTTGGGGCGAGCATAAGCTCGCCCCACTCAGGCGAAGTCTCCCTCCCTCCCTCCGTATGTATGTATGTTAATCCACTTTAGGGCTTACCTGATATGGAGTGAGATTGGCTGGACCAGGACGGCAGCTCTTGGAGAGCTCCCATCGAATCTCCGTCCCTAGAGAGGCCCACTACTTGTTGTAGTGTGCCTTAATGTGGGTTGTGCCAAACCCCCCAGCACCTGACTGCAGTTTCATGGGAAGGAGGTAAGAGAGAGAGAGAGGCAAGCACATTGCCTCAGAGGAGAGCATGAATGCATAGCAATGCTTGAGAGTAAAGGAGGGCCTACTCGCACCCCAACTGAGTGTGGGCAGTAAGCCAGCCAGGCCAATACTCTTAATGTACAAGCCACTGAATGCAATGTGGCACCAGATAGAGCATCAAATATTATAACAT